AGAGGAACCAAAATGAAATTTCCGACGGCTTCATAAACAATGCCTCCCACATAAACCATTGGTTGTTTCAGCGATGCATACGGATAATAAAAAGTTGATAAATAGATTCGTTCTTCAGGCGGTGTAACCATTAGCTGATGAACCAACGACGCCCAAGTCAAATATACAAAAATATTGTAACATTTGAATACCAATTTTGATTGGTTGACGAGCGGCTTTAGAAATGTTTGATATTCGCTTAACTGAATTCTTTTATCCATGTCCACCATCAAATTAATTAGTGTAACGAACGTATCCTTTACAAGGCGCATTATCAATGCTTTCAACGAAACGGTTACAACAGCACTTGAAACCAACAGAATGTGAATTATGTTGTCAACCGAAGACACTAAAAGCACCGGACTCAATTCAAATATGGGTTTTGCAATGAAAACAAACATCGTCACTATGACCGACCAAATATTGTAGGCTGTTGAATTATTTTCCGGTGGCCATAATCCATAAATTTTGAAAGTTTTAACATACCAAGTCACAATCTCGCGAGTGTCCATGTTAAGTGGTTAAAGTATGAAATAGTCACGCTGTACTGCCGTTTCATTGGAGAAACACTTCCTTTTATAGCAAGTCTATTCACTTACTTTTCTTTGACATTTTTCCGAGAAAAATTTCGTATTTTAAAAGTGATATTTTTCTGAGAAAAAAAACGTTCGGAATAAAATTGTACGTAAAAGAGATACGTCCATAAGATCAATTCAAGGGAATTTAATTATTATCTGTAAATACTTCCTGACTTCCGGGCTGTACGAGCGATGATTGTTAGTATGTTGTTATGAAACTATGAATTTTCGGTTGGAAGTAAGCAATTGAATGAATTGTGGCTACTCTTTTGATTGCATGTTGTGTTAGTTACATCAATTATTGTGCATAAAAATAGCCGTAATTCTATGGTACCATCTACATTAATCATAGACACTTCTACAATTAATAGTTTTGGATAACTTTCGCCAGAATTTTAATTCTTTTTTAATTGTTTTCAAAAAATCCTTCTAAATGAAAAAAGGGAAAAATACCAAGAAAATGTGTTTCTTCCACACTAATCGAAACGTTCAAATTAAATTTAACGTCCGGCCCAATTTAATTCGTGGCTATTTGAAATGATTGAGTAGAACAAGAGTCAACATTTGGTTTTGAGGATATACATATACGTATATGGTGTGCTCCAGCTCCTTGACACCGTTTCTACGTTTTTTTTTTTGAAATATTAGCCGTTGAAATCTATTAGTGTTCAATTTTTTTTTATCACGTATACATTTCTGACACTCACAAGATATGATGATGTGTAGTGTGTTCAGCAGAAAAGACCACAAAGAATAAAAGAGACAAAATAAATTGTCGTCATTTAAAAATTAGTCGATATTCTGTTTGAAATATGATCGCAAACCACTAGGGAATTATAATCGGCTGACACTGTCTGGTACCGATCGAAGTATGTGTGTGTGTGAACATGAATTGCTACTCGATGTGTCCATAGTTCAATTTTCGTTTCATATTTAGATTAAAGATATACGCGATCCCATGAAATCGTAAAAAATGCATTAAAAAGATCATTTAAAAATGGTTTCCTCTCGGGAACATTTTGCATTTTCTCCAGAGTTTGTGCAAAAAAAACCATACAACATTGTAACGGTTTTCTTTTACGATTAACGGATACTGTATATGACTTGAGCATTTCTTCTGAAAAATTGAACTTTGTGAATCAAAAATATAATTGTTTTTTTCCACTTGACTTTCGCGTATTTTCCCAAACAGAGCAAACGGTTGATATGAATTTATATCTGTCGTTTGTGACACTGGGCGATATCGACGGCGACACACTATGTAAAAATGATTTTTAAAATTCAAAATTTTATCTCAATGATGCGACGATTATTGACAAGTTAATTTGTCAACGGGTTCCTCTTTGTACTTCATCCAACGTATGCCTGATATTCAATATGCATGGTGACGTTCTCATTAGAGATAAAACCATTCAATTCACTCCAATCACAAAAACTGAAATGGATATTGAGCGACACATGTTAGAACGGAAAGCTGGAAAATGATAAAATTAGGCGACGACGACGACAAAATAAAATAACAAAAATACCAATCTGCATTTTAATCAATTATTATTCCAGTAATTTTCCCATTTTATATGTCATGAGCGAAGAATTGCGATACTCATTCCAGTTCTATCCGTTGAGAGAGCAACTCGTTCAATTTGATTAATCCCTACCATGGAAGAGTTAAATGTGTTTGGTGATGACTTTTTGTCAAACGGTGAATTTCATCATTTGTACACAACATTTGATAGTCAAGGCGATATTTGTTTGTGGGACAATCGAATCGATTTCGATTTTCAGTCAAAGTGGAATTCTGCAAGTGATTTCAGTAGTGAACCAAGCAGCTACTCTAACTATAGTCCTTGTCAAGTAACGGGCTACATCAATTTTGTAGATAATAATAGTTTTGGTGAATTTGCTTCTCATAATCAGCATTCGACAAGTGGTGAAAGAGATCAAAATTATGCAGCAGTATCGACGGATAGTTTTCTCGGCGACATTTGTGACATGGATGAATGGAAACAAAATCACATGGATGATTTGCTGTATCATTCGAACAATAATGACTGGGAATTGAATCTCGATAATTTAATCATGGAAAATCCATATGAGGATTCTGTGTTCAATGTGTGCGACTTACCAGCTCGAACTTTGTATTGCAACGATTCATGTACCAATTTTCTGAAAGAAACATCCGAGCATCTGGATACCAGCCTAAGGACATTTCAGCCCAATTCAACATATGAAGCAACCACTTCGAATGCAACGCATTCCAACTACAACACAAATGATCGTAAAAAATGCCCAACAAATGGCACGGAAGAAAAGGAGTTTATTTGCAATTACGGCGAATGTCGAAAGGTTTATGCGAAGGCAGGCCACCTGAAGGCACATATCAGACGTCATGTTGGAGATAAACCCTACGTTTGCCATTGGCCAAATTGTACGTGGAAATTTTCACGCTCTGATGAACTAAGCCGTCATCGTAGATCACACAGCGGAATTAAGCCATACCAATGCGATCTGTGTCCCAAGTGCTTTTCACGTTCTGATCACCTAACAAAACATCGTAAAGTTCATGAGCGAAAAATGGCTGCGATGAAAATTAAAGCAGTATGGACGAAATTACCACCACGAAAACCCGGTCGCAAACCAAAATCACAAACGATGCAGCAATAGATTTGTTTTTAAGCTCAATTTTTAACGGATTCTTGGAATGGAACGGACACCGTTTGAATGTGTACTAAAAATTAAGTCAATACAAAATTGTTATTGTAATGTAGATAATGGAGCTAAATTTTAATTTGAATTGTAAATAAAATTCCAAAAATTGGCGATTTTCATATTATTTGATGATAATAACAGAATAACACATTTTCCCGAGAAATTTTTGACTCATTTTCAGCTTGTTGGCAAACTGTCAAAAATCCAACGAAATAGCAGCCAATGTCTAAACTATAATTGGTATTTTTTTTCCACAGGAAAATTTTCTTTGTCTCATTGCGTGAAAAAAAATAATCGCAATACAAATTAAAATGTAAACAATACGCAATACGCATTGGCTATTTCGAAATTTCTACGCAATTATTTGCAACTGACAATTTTAGTACAACGCAGTTGACACATTCAAAATACACTCTCACACACACAAACACACACACACAGCGATGACGTTTACGTTGAAGTATGATTTGCAGAAAAACCTAGTACTGAACTGTCAAACGTTTCGTTTCAGTAAAAATATACGCTATCGTAAACAAAAGCAATTGCAAAGCCTAGAGGGGATTTTATTTTGCATTTCTTTATAATTTAAATTGACGTGAAAAGTCTTTAAAATGTCTGAAGAGTGGTGTATTGAGCAGCTAGCCAAGTTACAAATCAAAGAAAGTCGTTTGGACACATTGAACGAAATACGAGCAGCATTAAGTAATGTTGGCGCAAATGAAGTCAATGTCTCTGCACAATTCTTGGCGCTCTTGGATTCGATTGATGACTATCGCGATAGGTAAATTTTGTTATTCATTTCCACATCAAAAACCTTTTACTAATTTGGTATGTATTTTAAAGTCCGGAACAATGTCAAGTCACATGCGATATACTTTCGATGTGCATGTCAAATTTGAATATTGATCACACGGAAAAGGTGAGCTACTGCGACTATCTGGAAAAATGTTTGTTGCACAAAAATGATGATGTCAAGGTGCTGGCACTCAACTACATTGAACGACAACTCAAAGATGTCAGCGGCAATGAGCTGCCCGTATCAATGAACAATTTGTATCAGTCAAATATGATGATTGCATTGGTAAATTGTCTGGAATGTGAAGGAACCGGAGTGGCCACCACTGCAACCACCATTCTGTTGAAACTTTTGCCAAAGGCCATAAACGATAAGTCAATCAAAAATCGTTTAGAGCATATTTTGTGCGGAAAAGACTTGGTGCGATGCCGTGTGTACGAGCTGGGCGTGAAATTGAGCCAGGCTTCAGTCAAAAATCAGGAAAAATTTAATTTCATTCTGGAAAAACTGGTTGCTGACCTCGACACTGATGACATTCTTCTCAAGCTGAATATTCTGTATTTAACATCCGACTTGGCACAAACTGATTACGGTCACATTTACATGGAAAACAAAGCCGTTTTCACAAAGGTGTTACGTGAGATTGAACTATTGGATGAAAATCCATTCAAATCCATACTGGTGCCGGGCTATCTGAAGTTCTTCGGACAAATCGCAACTGTTCAACCAGCTAAAATTATTCAAGGCTTTTCCGGCATGATAAACTCACTCTTCGATTGCATTTTGGACGAAAATGTTTCCGCACTACCAGTTGCTTTTGATACGTTTGGTGGGTTCGAAAATTTTTTTTTAGTAGTTTCGACAATATGAATGAAGTCACTTATACAAATGTTTCAACAATATTTCAGGTCATTTGGGTCGTTCAGCCGAGGGAAAAATGCTTTTGGATGAATGTCATTCAGCCCGAATGCACGAGGTACTGAATGATATCGGGAAATCCATTTACAATTTGCCGACACCATTGAAAGTCCGGGCACTCAACGCCTTGGAAACGTTGTTCCAGTGTGATGAAGCCAACGCGTCGAACAATCAAATCAGCTCAATCACTGAACAATGGTTTAAAAGTTTGACGGGAACTAATCAGCTGACATTCGTACAAGAATTCTGTCGCAATCCATTTTCGGAAATAAAAACGGCTGCATTGGCTCTGTTGCGCTCAATCTGTGTGTATGCATGGGGACAACGGGCATTGAGCAATACAGCTGGATTCATCGAATACCTTCTCGACAGAAATTCGGAAGTTAACAAAGATGTTTTACACGAGAAGTACAGCATCATCAGAACAATTGCCAACTCAAGAGAATTTGATGAAAACACCAGCCGACAGATAAATCAATATGTGAAAGACGGCGTATTTTATATACAAGGCCAAATGGAAGTTGCCATCGAAGGAAGTTAAACGTCTCGTTTAATGCATTTGTTGGATTTGAATACCAATTAACTGCTCACACGTTTTCTAAATAAAATAAGCAAGAGATTTTTCTTACGAACAAAAAGAATTTGTACAGAGTTTTTTTTTTCATTGACACAAGATCTTATAAGACACAAAAGTAAAGTGGCGCCCGAAAAATGAACAAAAGTATTCAAACGAGATAAATGACAATCCAATTCAAATTGTTTCAATGGATTTATTTTAAAGGAGTAGCTTACAAATGAAGGGTCTTATTCTTTATCGCAATAAAATGATTACCTTCAATTGGGCTTTAAATTAATTTAGATGAACGGTTTTTGTTTTTCTTTTAATTTAATACAAAACTTCACAACGACATATTAAATATCGAACAACTCAATTCATTGGCACATCACTTCTGAATTTCTCTGGATGTGTGCTTCTACAGCGGCAAGTATTATTCTCTCTGGTCTGTTTGATGCGCCTTAAGAAGCTGATTTGACATGTCGTACATACACATGGGGGAGGGTGCCTTACTTAAATACATTTTATGAATTTTCCTAAATTCTTACAAATAAAATAATTAAAATGTTCTCATCAATTCTTATTTATCTAAAATTTTCTCTGGATGATTTGGTTTGGGAATTTTTTCTCGACTTGGCGACAGAATTTTCAGCATCGTCACAACCGGTGCTTCGAATGACAATGAAATAACGAATGCTAGCAAAAACGACAGTATCATATGACCAAAGAAGAGCACAATCTGAAAATTAAACGAATTTAAATTGAATTAAACTGATTTAATTTTCCAATTCTAAAATGCAATATTACCATTGAGTCGCTGCCCAAATGCAAAGTGGCATCCGAATTAAGTGACACGAAGCGTATAGCAATTGGATGCACCAAATATGCACAGTAAGTGACTCGGGAGAATGGATAAATGATGGGTGCGGAGAGAATCTTGTCAACATAACCTCCATAGCCGGATGAGCATGCAATAACGATCCATGCCAAACTCATGGCCCACGCCGAATGGCTCAATGAACTGTACGCAGCTGCACTGAATGCACCCAATTTTACGTTGTACAGACCATAGATCAACCAAAGCAAACAGAAACTGGATGAAAACCAGCCAACAACCAGCGTGGTCTAAACAAATAGAAACAAAAACGATTTTTTATGACGAAAATTGTTCAAATGATCGATAGAAATAGAACCGTAACTGAATTCACTTACACGACTCATGCGGATCTTGCGATTTCCTTTGGTATATTCAAATAAGAACCAACCGACACACATGCCAACCATATAGGGGCCCAAGCGTGTCCATGGTTTGTCGTAAATTTTATCGAATAATGCAAGTGGATCGTCAGTGTTTGGAATGTGGTTGTTTTGGAAGGCAATTAGACTGGTTGTTGCCCAAGATGATACTACGAATGCAATCAGCATGGTTGAAGCCACTTTGAAATGCCTGCAAATTAGAGGAAAAGAAATATTTGGAATTCCATTTTTCATGTTCAATTGTCATTAAGTGAATGTTCATATTTACTTGACAGCAATGATAAGAATGAATGCTCCAACGATGAAAAATTGGGTATCATCAGCCAAGTACCAACTCCATAGCATGCACTGCAAATGAATTATTTTGATTAATATCTCAAATCCATATAAAAATAACTTCAAATATTTATGGAAGTATTTAAAATTCAATTTCCAAATTGATCATTGCAATTATGAACATTTTTTTTCTCTTATTTACCATTTGTTCGACAGGGAACATAGTGTTTATGTAAAGAATGTTACGCCACCAATAGTTTGGACAGTTTTCATGATCCAGCGTAGGCGTTTCAAAAACGGAATTATGATGGAAATATTTCATAACGACTTCAACGAGTCCCAACACAAACATATACGGTGCAGTTAACCGAACAAAACGATAGCCAATCAAGCCGAAGAAATGGAATATGCCCGCAGTAACTTCACCGACACCTTGTGACAGCGGATCCAAATTGCCCTTATGATCATTCCGGAAGTAGATATACGAAACGAGAAAACCGCTAGAAAACAAACAAATAAATTTTACTAATTTTCATTTCAAATAAATGAATCCAATTTAATTTACCTAATGAAGAAGAAAGTATCAACGCTGAATGTGCCATTTGAAATAGTTTGGAACCAAAACTCTTTCTCAACCACTTTGCGTAGCTCCATGTTATCGGCATATTTGAAGACAATAATACATGTGTGACCTTGACATGAGAGGTAAATAAATAAACGTTTTGTATAATTTGAATAAAAATGGCATTTCATTATATAATAATTACCTAAAATGACCCAGGCCATCGAGATGGCTCGCAGCCCGTGGATACATGGAACGGTGTCACTGCCCACTTTTCGATCACAGATCACGTTGAAATTGGTGATGACTGAGAATGACAACAGCAGTCGGCACCAAACACTTTCTTTTTTCGCAATATTTATCGAAACATCGGCCAAATTCTCATCGGAATTGTTGTTGTTCATGCCATGCGGAATTACAATGCCAATGGGCAAATCATTTTTATTGGGAACAGAACTTCTAAAAGCATATGTTGTTTCAATGCTAGATGAAGAATCGGTTGCCTCATCGTCTTTTCGTATGCTTCGTTTTTCCAATGCTCGTTTGGCACGTTTTAGATACAATTCGTACAAAGTTGCAACAGCCATGAGTGCGAAGACAATCGATGAAACGACACTATTGAATGCAATTTCGAATAAAGATGAAAACATATTAATTGATGTAAATTTCTTGAGGAACTTGGAAGAAAAATTGGTTAAAGTGAAAATTTACACTAAAATAACAAATGTTGTATCGTTCCAATAGTCGTATGGATTCTGTGTTGGTGACCGAACGAATGCGATTTCCAAAGAGCGATGATTCATTGGTTTTTGTGATGACAATGCCATGTGTGAAACTTCATCCAATGAACATGCAGATGGTAAACAAATTCCAAGTCGAATTGTTCGTGGCTGTAAAGATAAATGAATTTCATAATTTCAGTTTCAATGCGATTTTTTTCTTTCGTTCGTTTCGTTTTGAATGGGTCAAATTAGTATGCAACTTACGTATTTTGCGATTTCAGTTTCATTGATTATTACTTTGAGGACAAAGAAACCGGGCAGGAATGGTGGATTTTCGTGAGGCAACGTTGTTGCTGGATTGTAGGCATCGTTAAATGAAATCTCATCCTTTGCTTGTCGAGTTCGTACTGAAATTGTTTGAAAAATGTCGATACTTTTAGCGTTTTGATTATATTTTTCAAACAATTTGAACAAAAAAAAAATTTGGAATTGAATTTTCTGGTTTCAGAAAATATGATTTATAAATGTGAAAATGTGAAAATTTGCTTCACATAGTTGTTCTTAAAAAACGAAAAAAGTGAATCAAAAAACTATACCTATGCCTGGTGAACTCGTTGGATTTTCTTTGTAGATGGATTTACATAATGACAACGATCCAATCCAATAGTTGTTGCCGTAGAACAAACCGGTGGTGTAGTGTCCCGAAGCGTCATCCACTGCAAGAAGAGAAAAAAGCATAATTAAATGCACAAATTGTTAATAATTATTGTGGCATTTAGTGAGACGACATATCATACGACATGAATAAGTTGGCAATAATCGATTCGATTGGTGCTCGTGAATGTGGCGATTTGTGCCACTGTGATTATGGTAATACCATTTATAGGAAATTGCATAAAATTCTGCGTATCTATAAACCACATTTGCTCATTACACTTTTAAAATTGGTCACACCGCGGTGTGTGTGTTTGTGTGTTTTGTAGATTTTGTTTTTTTTTAAATTTCATTGCTCGACATTCGAATCTGCATTAATAAAGTGTGGCACATATTTATGCAATATCAAAAGTAATCAATTTCAATAAGCATGTCAGATTACAGTGTTTCAAACATATATACGCAATGGATTCCATTTCATCGTGAGTGAAAAAAGTCTGCGACGAAAAAAAAGAGAAACAAAACCAAGTATTGAACAGGGTAAAAAACATGAGAATTCTGAAATAAGACAATGCAAGTACTGCATCAAATCAATTCGAATGCGCAAGCATTTAGAAGCACGACAAGGCTACTTGAACATATTCACATTTCTTTTTAAAATCTGTGCCACGACGAAATTGACATCATTCAAAATGTGAGTTTGGTACTAGACACAGTAATCGCACCCAAACCACCTGATTCGTATTTATCCATACATCACACACAGATTATTATGCATCATACATATGCTGATATTGTACCATATACATTCACCTGAAGCTAAGACGTACATCGAATGTATCGAATGAAACCAAAACTAACAAATGCATAATATTGTATAATTCTTTTGGTACGGACAGTAAATGAGATTGAATCAAAGCCCAAATTATATAATTGGCAACAACATTCTGATTTTCTGTGTGCAATCGTCTGGTTGGCACCTTGGCATACCGAAGTGGTGCTGCGTTGTCTGTCTGTCGTCGTCGTCTGTGCTACAAATGATCAAATACTGAATCGAATTCGTGATAGTGAGAATAAATATGATGGCAGGTGTAGACAATCAACAAAAGCAATAAATGGTGTCTCGAGTGGATTGGAGTGAATTACAATTTGCATTTCAACATTTTCAAATGCTGTGTAGTCATGTGCGCGTCAGTCAGCCGCGTCTAAGACTGCGCGTGTACGTAAATTAAGTAATTTCAAAATGACAACCATCTTGGATTTATTTAGCTTGAACGGATCGATTTGTAGGTGTTTTAATGTTTCGAATCGAAATAAAAGCAACAAACTGCTACTATCGGCGGTTTTGATCGCTATTGTAGTAAGGTAAATATGAATAACTCATACGTGGTGCTGCTATAATGATGTGCATGTACATGCGCCAACATTGAAGATTCATAGCTTGATGAACGGATTGCAAACCCGCTTAAAAACGTTTCGACAGGCTTAAATGTCGATAAAAAGAATCGATGTTAAGCTTGCGGATCATATAATTAAATCTTTACATATCAATTCAAGTGAATCGATGGCAGACAATCGCAATGACAATTCGGTGATCCATTTCTTAAAATTTGTGTTATTAGTGGCTAATATGATATTGACCAACAGCGGAAAGTCTTTCTTCACATCAAAACAAAATCGTATTTTATAAAGATTACCAACGACAAGACAGGTTTTAACTTGTACAACACAGCTGATTTCCAAACACATTTTCTTTCAAAACGGCGTTTTGCAATGTCAAACTGCTGGTTTTTGTACGCTACATAGTTTTCAAATTGCTTGGCTCAGATAGAATCTAATGGCTGTGCAACAAACAACTATTCTGTCTGAGTTTTTTTTTTCGTGTCTGCAGCTACAAAGTAGATTTGCACTGGTTTGACGGTAAGTATATGAGACGAGGTGTTATACGAAGCCATACAAGGCTCTTTTTCAAAGAGTTCGATGTTAATGTCAATGATAGACCTGCAAGTTTTCAGTTCTGGATTTTTTTCCTCCAAAGGACAACTTCTTTGTTGTAGAATGTTCTTTCCGGAATAATTCAGAATGAAAAGTGGTCTGGTCGGTTTTTAATGATTTCCTTTCATTTTCATTGGCGAAAAAAAAAATGAAAGATACGATTACTATTACTTCATGCGAAGCCAATTCCGAGTTAAATAATTCGGAACTGTTTTGTGAAAATTTTCGAATTGTTCAACCAATTTAACAAATGAACGACCGCATTGTTGAATCAAATCGATGAACAAAAGCTTTGTATTCGGGTTTTTTTCTCCTCATATTCAAACCGATGCATACGCAGAAGAATCATGCAAAACGAATAGGAGAAATTAATTGTTTAACAAAGCAACAACAGCAACGAAGATGAAGAAAAAAGAGTCAATTCGAAAAGGCTTTGATTACGAATGGTAATGAACATTGGAGCGCCGCAGCCGACGTATAACTGCATCAAAGCGAATCAAAAGGGAGTTAATGAAATTGCGTATATTTAAATTTATTCCGAACCAAAAGATGCCTTTAATGCTACGCTTTTGTCCGTAATACGCCGATACCGAATATTAAATGATTATTCATCTGTTGATTCGGCGGCCTCATTATATATTACGTGGAGAAAGCGTTGTGTAACCCAGCCCCAAAACGAAAAAAAAATCAATCTCGCTTTTGTCTGAGATATGCTTTCTTCGCCTCTCTTCTCCTCTCTTTCCGATTCATCCGAGTTCCGCGGCATTCACTTTGAGTCTCGTCACACACCATTCATATTCGCGTCGATTCGTATGAGAATTCGCAAATGATCTCGCGCATTCGAATTTATGTCACACATGGCTCAAATAGGCTCTCAATATCCACAGCATTCTAATATGCGAAATAATTTTGCAATCGATTATCTATGAATGTGAAATTTATTACACTTTGTACCATTATAATATCTGGAGAATCGATTGAAGTTTCTGGTCGGCATCGTCATGCGAAAGTTATTTAAAAACATAATCGATTTTTGTTACATTCCATTCATTAATGGATTTTTTTCATAGCCAGCCACATGGTACGGTGCATAAAATTCTCGGCCATTAAGAAAAAAGAAACTCTCGTGTTATATGATCAATGAAAGGCGAACAGTCCAGCGTGTGTATCTTATTCCATAATTCACATATTCATCGATGTGTGCTTTCGTCGGTATCTATCTGCGCAAACGGAGAGAAAAAGATCTCTTTCTCACTATCTGCACCGTTCGCCACTTTGGTATACATAGGAATTGTTTATGTTGCAATCAAACGTAAGTTTTCTCGTCTTGTCGCGGTTCTTGTTGTCGTCGTCGTCGCGGACACGCGCGCACACAACACTCGAGCATTTCGTTTTGAATGTGCTCAGAAAGCAAAAGTGCTAAAGCGGTAACGGCGCGCACATTCACTTCTTTGTCATTTCGATCGTTTCTCGATTACGTGCACATGGTGAAATATCGTTAGTGTGTCATGCAGATTGGTAGAGAGACTCATGTGTAACTGAATTGAGCAATTTCACATCAATCGCGCCTCAACTGAAGTAACCATTTTCTCTCTCTCTCTCTGTCTCTCTATCTCTCTCTCTTTCTTTAACTCTCTTGTCACTTCTCGACATCGAAATGATTAGTATCATTAAAATGGTTGAAGAAATGTTGAGTCACCATTCATGACTGTCGTGCATTTGCTATATGCTGTGGTACTTTTAAGAAAACTCCAAATTTCAATCAATATGATGCTTTTTAGGAGCTACTTAATACAAAGGGATTTTCCTATATTACTCTTCAGTCTCTTGTTTTATTGTACACTTCGGGCCTTTTTTGCTTTCAACCGTCAATTCAGAATTTTCAAAGAAAATCGCCTTGGGCGATAAATTCTCGTTATGTGCATCATCATAAAGCCACAATTTGTAACAGTTCAATAGCATCAAAAAAATGCTTTCCTATATGCTTCGACGACAAAGTACGCTTTATATCGATAAGAATAAACCACTTTCACTTTCATTCCAGGCAAACATTTGCGTCAAACCGGGTTGTGTGTGTTTGTTATCGTTCAAAGCACGGAATGACCTTCTTGAATGTTAAACGATCTCTCTTCAGCGTGTTTACTACAAATTCAAAATGCAGACACAACCACACACACGAGCTCACACACGAATCATTTGCAATGGATTCGCTATATATCTGCACGCTCGAACTTGAAACCGATCAATGTGTTCAATATTAAATAGACTCGATTCGAATGAAAACATTCAAAACAAAACGGAAAACATTGGCATTAATAGCATTGGCATTAATAACAATATTCACTCCATATTTAAAGCGATATATAAAAACGATAGTTGGATTCGTCGTGTGTGCAAGAAAATCACCATCGTCAGTTTTATCGATAAATTCAATAATTACTCGACATTTAAGTGAATAACAGCAAACAATATTAGGTATGAAGAGAAGCAAAAAAAAACACACCGAGACACACGTATATCGCTTTAAAAGTAACAACAAAGCGTTTGAAGTGTTTTATGGCAAACAAAGAAGAAGAAAAAAAACCGTTCGTTGAATAAATTTGAGTAAATATATCAGTTACGCTGTGTATGCCATCGAACGCATTTTGAATTACTGCTATTTATTGTGTTCAATCTACGCGGTGCACATGTTAATTATTAGCATGTGCACAAATGCGAGGAAGTTTCAGGCATTTTGCAATCCAAAATTTATAGTATTTAAACGAAATGAAAAATAAAATTGAAGCCGTAATTCTAATGCTTCTGAAGCGAACAAAAAAAAGACTTGTGCGATTATCATCGTATTGTTTGGTTTTTTCTTGTGCATTGCAATTAGCACGAAGCAAAAACTATGGTTGCACGCGGTACATTTCCTACATTTGTTTAGGTTTTCGTGTATTTTCTCGACGTTTTGGAGCGATTAAAACGTTTAAGCGTTGATGATAGTAACATAAATTCCGACGAAGAATTGGAAAAAAAAGAACTATAAATGGATTTTAAACACAAACTTTTTTTGTGAATATATTAA